AGCACATGACTCCCTGCTCCTTCCTCATTAGCCCCTGCTGCCCTTTGGCCCAGAGGCCACAACAAAACCAACCTCTCGCCCTTCTCTCTCCCGCTCTCCCTACTCCCAACACTCTCTCCATCTTTGGGCCTTTGACCTCGAGCCAATGACGGAGCAATTTAAAATACACACGGCCTTGGAACTTGCCAAAGACAAGCATCTGCTGTGGTGACTCCAGAGCAATACACGGCGTCCAATCAATACCTGCTCTCCTCTGTCCCCTCCCAGGACCTGCTGGGGATGGTGTGAAACTTCCCATTTGGTGTGTGTTGTTGTCATTCAAATCAGCTATCATGTGTTTGCTGTGAACAAGGTATCAACCCCTTTGTTTGTAAAGGAGTCAATACAAATGTTTACGGCAGTAGAGCCGTTTCTGCACGTTTCAACGGTTTCAACTCAAAGATAAGACACATTGTTGAATGAGTTTGGACTCTGGCTTTTCCAATTGAACTTTTATATTACCAATAATTCTGTTACATTTCTCAATAGCTGACCGTTTCCCCTTTTTTTCCTGTCTGAATGCTTAGCTAACATGCTATATACATCCACAAACCAGAAATATCTTAATTAAATGGCCCTCTTATCATACCTCTTAGCCACGAAGACACCTTGATATAAAATGTTAACTTTTGAAGCAGCAGAAATATTGATGTATCAAGTTATTACTCTAAATGTGTAAACAGGCACAGATAAGGAGCAACATAAGCATTTGTCTGAAGTTGTGTTCTTGCCACCTGATGGATATAAGGGCAACTTTCACTCTGCTATTAGGTTTGGGTTTGCCTTCACATACACTACAGGGAAATTAGATTTGTTTTGCTGCTGTAGCACGAAACAAGGCTGATGAGGGATGAGACTAGTAGGCCGTGAAACCAAAATAAAGTGCTGAAACACTCAGTAGAGCTGAGGGGATGATCATTCTCTTCAAGAAACCTTTCACATTACCTCTAGCTGTTTGTTAAAATAGAAATACTGCGTCTTTAATTATTTGACCAATATTGTAGTTGTGTCCTGCAGTAAGTAAAACGATTGGATCATCACCAGGCAGCACATTCTAGTTTACTGTGTGCTAGTGTCACTGAAAGATCAGCAGAGTCCAGTTGTAAATACTGACCTGCTATCACCTTTGATACTATTGCTTAAAACATTTCCCAAATGTTGATGGTTTTTTTGGTGGCTTTGAGGTCGCATCTAACCTTCACATTCTCCTGGAATATAATGGAGCATCATTTGTTTTTTTGTCATAATGAAATTAGATGAACAAAGCATTTAAAATAATTCAATCCATGACCATCTTAGCTTTATGGATATTCAACATGACATATGGTGGATCTTAACTCGATTTTGAAATAAACCCGATGGCTTGAACTATGATTGGGCAGACAATAGTTTGTAATGATGGGCAGAAAGTGGTGGATGTTTATCAACTAGCAACAGTCCTTTAGCTAAATGTATTGCTTCAGGAGTAAAATTATTACCATTGACAGACCGTCGATAGGTTGTCAGCGGATTACCCATTTAAAAGATAAACTTATTTGCCATTTACCAAGAAGTCTGATATTTTCAGACAGGTATTAACCTAACGCTCTTGGCAGCCATAACATTTGTGTTCCCGATCACCAAGTTCAATCTCTTGTAAACCTGAGTCCAATCTGTTGCTCCCTGCTCATGCCCTGTGCTCTGTTAAAGGCAGACACTGCCTAAAGGTCCTCTAAGGTGCTTAGGCTGGCAGCAAATTAACCCTAATCAGCTCTCTGAAGACGTCTCAAATGCTTTAACAGGATTATGGCGAGGCCACTCCCACGGGCCATCTTTCCGTTCGAAACACTTTATTGCTGTAATCTAGCGCACACAAACTGACCTCATTAGATCATCTGGACTGTTGTTGGCCTGTGATCTGTATTCTGCTCGACTCCATACGATGGCCTTCTCGTGTCAGGTGCATCACAGAAATGTGCTAAGCTCCATTCAGCTGTCAGGCTATCGGGTTCAGTACAGCAAATCGATGTTTGGCATGTTGTGGATATTTAACTTACAATAACTTAACAATAAGTAATTCAGACTTTAGATCTGGTGACTTTGAAGTCACCAGCATATTGGATATGATAGGAAAGCATCTGTATTTGTCATGTTTCTCCACTGATGTATTACAAATGTGTATTAACCCACAAGTATGATTGAAAATATGTCTTTTGTGTTGTGCTATTGTGTAAAAAGGCTACATTTTGGGATATTAGGATATAGAATATTATAGGAAAGTAAAACTGTGTGCAACAAAGAAAATCCACACATTCTAAAAAAACATAAAAACACATTTCTCTTTCTTAATAACCATCCCCTTTTCCAGATAACAATTGAGGTATTCCCATCACCTGTTAGCAGCCAAAGCTCGTCTTCCTGGGGTTCATAGAAAAAAGAAAACTATTTTGTGTGAATATGTTAATAGATTACATACAGTTCATGTACATACACACATGCATAGATATTACATTTGCACATATAGCATACAAAAGATAACAACGCACAGTATTTTTCAATATGATTATTCCACCTACACACTGTTATCAAATATCCATAATTATACCTTTATACAAATATAAAATAGAACAGTACACTATATTCTTCTCAAAAGCTATATGAGCTGTGTATCAGTCTGGATAAATCTCTTAAACTTCAGGGATATTTATGTACTATTTTTAAGCGTTAGCTCGGACTTGAAAAGACAACCTTAACCATTGTTACATGTTTGTTCTGTAATAGTGCTTATTCATATACAAAGCAGTATTTCAATTGTTTATCTTCTTTAGTGTCATCAAATAAAACAAAGCATGCAGTAGGTGTGCCAGGTGCTCATTAAATTGACCCAAGGATCCAGGAGGAATTTCAGGCATTGAACAAACAACTTTCTTAACCTCTAGACAAGCAGGCATGCAATCCTTTAATAGGAGCTCGAGCATGAAAATCCTCCATAATTGGACTCAGTTACATCAGCTACAAGATCTGATGTGTGTCAGGAGCACAAAGCGGATGGGATCGGCCATTTGATTGAGGTCAAATCTCTTTCGCACTCCTCCATGCCAATTGTGCCCTCCATCCTCCTGACCTCCCCACGGGCGGATGGGTGTCAGAAAGCTCAGGAGAGAGGCTTCAGGTCAGCGTGGCACACAGCGGAGAACAGAGAGATGAAGAGGGGAGGAGAGGGGATATGAAGTGGTTGTGACAGGTGAGCTAATGGCTTTCAGAAAGAGAGGGCACCGGCTGTGATCTCTTTATACAGCTTAAAGCGAGAAAACTTATTAAAATGAGGAACGGATGCAGTGAGTAAATGAGTTGACCTAAAACCCCTAGGTCAACTGCCCCTCCCTTTCTTCTAGATGTGTGTGTGTGTGTGTGTGTGTGTGTGTGTGTGTGTGTGTGTGTATATATATGTCTCAACCCCCCACACTGATTGACAGCCTCTGTTGTTGTCTAATAATGGCGTGAGTATTTTTCCCAGGCACTGAAAAACTCCCATAAAGACTCGAACGCTGGCTGTTAGATGTGGGGGTTTAAAAATGTGCCCAGAGAGCTTAAATGTTGAGTGTTACAGGAATTATACCGTTAGCATTTTTTTTTTTTTTAATCAGTCTGTTCTCATATGCTTTATTTGACTTCCTTATCTCACTTGTTCTTTAGTGCACTTTTACAAAACTGCATTTCAATGCCTATTATACCAGACATGTACACCAGCAATGATTTTATCGGGGTTGAGATTAGATTAAACCTTTCATGTTGGGTCAAGGTTAAAACAAGGTTTTAGTGTTTCAACAGTTTGAAGTATGTTTGAACAACATTTTTTAAAAGGAAATACCTTAATCAGTTATATAAGTTCAAGTGGGAGACCTTTATATACTCAATATGGGTTTTGAAGTAATAGTTGTATGCGTTTCACTTAAATATTTAACTTCAAGAGAAAGTAATACTGAGATTGATGCAGAAGTTCACTTGCTCTAATACTGGAGAACAATTTTTGAGGTATTTTTAGTTTACATTTAGTTTTTATTTTCTATTTAAATGCTTTGCGTTGTTCATGTCCTCTTTCAATGACTTCAATTTTATTTGACATCTATACATTGCTTAATATGAATCTATATCACACCGTCGGGCAATGAATAAACACAATGCATGGCATACATTTGCAACATATAGAGTGGCCAAAATGAGCTCCATTGTGAATAAATCCTATATTGCAGTATATCATAATGCATCACCAACCAGGGGACTTTTGAGCATAAAGTGGGATCTTTGATACAAGACTCACCCAGGGGTTACAACACTCATGTTGTATAAAAAACCTTTGATGATCTCAGAAGCTCAACATAGATCTTAGGAGGAGTGGACATTGGATGCAGTGATAATTGTATCATCTGCTGTAATGGCAGCTATTACAACAATAGCTATGGTGACCTGGAGGTTTGGGGGAGCGTAGAGGAAAGACCCTCTGCAGTGACCTCTGCCCCGAGAAAGGGCAGGCTCAGGCAGGAGTCAGGGCGTCAGGGGCTCGCCACCTCGTCTGGAGCTCTGAACCCCCCCATTCACAGGCTAACACAACAGGCAGGCATCACTGTGACCCTGTGGGTGTGACACTCAACCTTTGCCTTAACCTCCTGACCGCCGGGCACAGCTGCAGCTGGATCAGGGCAGGGGGGTCGGCTGGAGGGAGGGGAGGGGATGGAGATGATAGAGGAATAAGTGAGGAGAGAAGATGGACCGAGAGAAAATGGAGGGTAAGAACTGAGAAATGGAGGTGTGAGTGAGAGGTAAAGAGCAAAGGATGTTTATGAAGGGAAGATAATAGCAGGGCCATTTTTCCCCCAAATGACCGTCCTGTTTAACTTGTGAAGATTGGAAACAATTCAAATGAAATGCACAAAGCCAAACCAAGTCTTACAACTTTTTTTTAATACTTACAAAATCAGATCTTGAAACAATAACATTGACATTTACAACAAAATATGGGCCAAAAAGTGATCAAGTATATTAGTGCTCTTAAAGTTGATGCGACAATAAGGTGGGAACACACTTGTTTGAACATCACTTATTTGCAACGCATTAAGGCAGGCTTAATAACCAGCCTAGCGGCTAATTCTAACAGGGAATGACGTTATGGCACCATCAAGCTTTGTTCAGACACTTTTAAAAGGCTTTTTGCATTACTTTCCTTTTTCTTTTTTTAAGTACTACTCAAGCACTACAATTAAAGCACATTTTGAATTCTAGATTATATTTATGGACCAGAAGAGCTTCTATAAATAAGTATGAAAATAAGCTTTGAGTGTAATTTGTTTGAGAGAAGTGGAAATAGTGAAAGGCAGAAAGAGCAAGATGGCGAGAACTAAGTGCTAAGAAGACAAATGGGCTGGCCGTACATTTTGTGTGCACATCAGCCATTGTCCTGGCCCCCATCCCCCTTCTCTGAGCTTTGTGACAGCACGGCCAGTCGAGAGTTGCTTTGTACAGTCGGCTTGTACGGGAAAGAGGACATGTGCGCTCTCGAGGTCAGTCCCGAGGCCCTCAGAGGGTTCAGTCCTTGAATCAGCCTCACACATTCATGACTGCATGACAGCTGTTTCTCTGAAATAAGGAATGTGTCTTGTGATGTGTGAGTCTTGTTAGACGAGTTAAGCTTTGGATTCCGATGCAATTTATTGGTGACTCTCGTAAGGGTTGAAACGGCAGAACTGACCATGTGCTCCATGTTCTGCTGCCCTACATACCATATATATATCTGTATCAAATGGAATATACTTTAACAATTATAAAAATACATATAATTAGCTTGAATTTAGCAGGGCTGTCCATTATACACTGAGGAATCATAAAACAGTTTCTTCCCTTCTCCACTCAGGGGCCTCCCCAGCTGCTGTCGCCGCTCCACTCTGATGGTGGTGACTCTCCGTCATGGCCGCCACTTTCTGCTCCAGCCTCCACACCTGCTCCCGGTACTTCCTGCGAATCTGCCGGTACGAACTCAACGCTTTGCTGGAATGGAAGTTACAAATGCAGAATTGGTTATTTTAGATTTTATTATACAAAAATAAAATAGCGAAGCAAACCTGAATACTTATAAAGACCTTCCCCTGTTTATAAGTGTTTTCTCTCTAAACTAAATGCAAAAACAACATAATGTAGAACATACAAATCCTAGCTTTCCACCCAAGTTTTGTTCTTGTGTACAACTTGATCAAATGATGCTATGAAAACCCAACAAGAGCAATTGGATCAGAATAAAACAACCTACAAATCCTGTAACGTCTTACTCATAGATTGTAAAAATGGGTCTTACTTGCTAATTTCCCTCACCGATCATCCATATCATAGCCATTCAATATGTTTTTTTAAATATCTTTGAGCTTCTTCGTGAAAACACTTTTCCTGTGATACCTACCTGTGAGCTTGTGTAAGCCGAGCAGTCTGCTCTCCGTTGTCTCTCCTGTGCGACGTGCTGTCTGACAGAGCGGAGTTTAGAGAGTCTTGGACTAAAGCCAGTCTCTTCTTCAGGGCTTGTTCTCTGAAAACAAAAGTAAGATCAGGTCAAATAAAAGGAAAACATAATACCTGCCTGTTCATTTCACTTAAAGTACCTTAGTGTACAGAAACCAAATCATGTTAAGAATCATGAATGTCTTGTCTTTATGGGTCTGTGACTCATTAAATCACAAGAGAGAATGTGTGATTGGGTGTGTGATGCAAACAGCAGAGCTTTGTTAAGAAGTATTCAGTACTCGAGGTCAGAAAAGAAAAGGATGCTCTCTGAAGCCCCTGATGGAGAGAACAAGAAGCCCTTTATATCAACGTTCTGCTCATCGTGTTCCTAAGCAACAGATAAAACCAGGCATGTCTGAATGATTCATTTTCTACACCAACTTCCCTCCTCAGGTACATTTCCTTGAAAAATGAATACATCGATGAATACCAAGATGTAAACACATTACATTTAATAATTTACCAGTTTTTCTTTTTGAGACACTTTAAAAGAGAGAAAAAAAATCTTCCATTTGCTATCACTGATAAGTATGTTTTGTCATACTTACCGTGTTATTGCCTTAAACAATGGACTGCAGAGAAATGTCACATGTCTCACCTTTGCAAGACGGCCTGCAGCTCTTTCAGAATGGGTCTGGTTCGAGGATCAGCGATTTCCATATCACTTCCTAGGTGAGCTGTATTTTCACAGAGCCTCTGAAACATAACATTTAAATATCATTATTTTTGAAAGCTCAAAACCAAATTAAATGATGTATTAATGGGGTCTATGATATGTCACTAAAGGGTTTATTTGACATCCCATCCATCTTGCAACCCTTAATATGTATTTGTCTTTGTAGGGATCTCTAGGTTCAAACAGAATAATATTTACAATGCTGCAATCAGAAGCCATTGTTATTATGGTTCAAATATTTCAAGGATATAAGATCAGTTATTGAGTCTGACAAAGTGCATCTCGAAAAATGTTGTGTTATTTTAAACCATAAATGAAATATTGAGGAAGAAAAGGAACAGTTTTGGAGGCAATGTTAACCTTTGAGCCTAATCCTGTTGTTTCTGATGCCCTGTGTCTGCAGTAATTGACAGAAAGGAGAAATTTAAAGTAACTTTTTTCAGCTCTTTCTCATCCAACAATGAGAAATGCTATGAATCCTTGCTGCAGCACCAGGACAGCCCTGCAGAAGACCTTGTGGAACCAAAATATCCCTCCTGGCCTGAAGGGATTCTGCTTTGGTAGATGTTTGATTTCCCATGTGGGACACCCAGATTTGAATCGGGTCTGCCACAGTAGACCAGCGTCCTGCTCCCTCTTGCTCGTTTCACCTTGACTTTGTATTATTTGAATTAAAAAACAGGAGTGTGTCCCACCTGTTGCTCGGTCTTACGATCCTCCACCGCCTCCTCTCTGAGGCTCTCTGGGACGAAAGCTCCAGCTGCTTCCTGGGCCTTCTGGGCCATTAAACCCCACTCCAGACACCGTAACTCTTTCTCCTTCAGGCGGATTAGAGCGCGTAGATCTGACATCTCCTCCTGAAGCAGTTAAACCATAGAATACAAAGAGTTGAACACAGATACAGAATAAGAAAAGCTGTGTGTCTAGTAGTGGCAGACACACAAGAAGTAAATATGTTATCCACTCCCTTTCTGAGGTTGTTGTGTATACATTTTGCCAGCTGGGGTGATGTTGTATGTGCCTTAGCAATTAGAATATCAGGATGCCCACTCTTTTATCTCAAGATCTCTTTGCATGGAAGGTTTGGCTGTTTTTCATAATTTGTAGTTCTATCACAAAGGAAGACACACATCTCTTACCCTGACAGAGATGAGTTCATAGAAGATGGAAGCTTTCTCTTTCTTGGTATCAGGAGTTTTGACAATATCTTTAGCCACTTGTCCTCCTCTCGGTCCAGCTGGTTGACCAGGTTCATGGCTCATTTTGCTCTCGACTCCTGGGCTTGGCTTAGGTAGACAAATGGAAGCCCGATCCCTTTTTAGGCGCTCGATTTGCTGACGGAGAACAGTCTCTCGCACCCCCAAATCAGGGGTCCTGCGAGGTTACATAATAGTCAGTGACTGAACATGTGACATTGGAAAGTTCTTTATTAATGTGTCACCTGATTAAGACATACCAGATAGCTACTGAATCATTTAGTTAATAGCATGTACATCTTTAGTTGTGAGGTATAATGATATATGCAATATTCTTCTTTTTGCAATTTCCATTTGTCAATGATGACAAAGCATGTTTTGCTTTCTACCCATTCCTAATTTTGAGCTTCGATCCACAAAGAGATCTTTAAAAACGTCACCTCTGCCCTGTAGTTCTCTGTGTTTCTGTTTCCTCTGGGACTCCTGCTGTTGAGAAAGAGGTGGACAACTCCTCAGTGTCGGGCTGCTGCCTGTCTCTGACCGCCTCTGATGAGATAAAAAAAACTGTGAGCACGACTGTGTGTGCGTGTGCGTGTAAATGACACGCATACCTACTGTGTATATAAGTGAATGTGTGCCCTGAGTTGTAAATAGTATTAAAACACGGTATTCAAACACCTGCTGGGTCTGTCTGTGGAGGAATGCTTTGCTGCTTCTTGGCGTCATAAAGTGACAGGAGCTCGCTGTAGGCCTCCTCACACTCCTCACTGTCAATCACAACCACAAAAACAAATACGACCTTTACAACATAAGAACCTACTTTACTGTCAGATAGCTGACCTGTGCACATTTATTTGAATGTCCTTGAATGTCCTTGGCACTTGTGAGTCAGGTTTGCTTTATGTGTGTACCAGTATCTGAGAGCCATCTGCAGGGCAGAGCAGTCCGCCTCCAGTCTGTTTAGTTTCATACTGATCTGCTCCGATTCTCCCTTCCTTCGCTCCAGAGCTGCACTCAGTCGCTCATTTCTGGCCCTCAGCCTCTCAATGCACCTGTAATGAGGAGAGGATGAGGTTAAAAAGCAATAAAACAGCACAAACTGTTTCCATCGAGGAAGAAACAGTTTTACCGCATTTGTTGAGTTACTTAACCCACAATTTGTGCATCAATTACTCAACCCGTATTACCTTTAATTCTTGAAGAAAACTGTGGACGGAACATCAAAGTGTTGATGAATTGAAATCAATTGGATATTGCATATTCGCTGAACTATACTATTTAAAATATTTTCTTAAGGTTTCGAGAAACGTTCCTCGGTTGAGAACTGTTTTATGTTGAAATAGTTTACATATTAAGGTTTAAGCAAAAATGCATGTGTTTGGGAAGAAGTGAGCATACAGTATGAGGGACTTGGATTATACCACCCAAGTTGTAAACAGATGTTTTGATATCGGACAGTTCCACTGTTGTTAAAAGCTGTCCCAGTTTACTTCAATTCATTTAGAATGTCCATATGTCCTTGAAACACCTCACTCAGTAGTTATACGTGTTGACAGTGTGCTGTGGCTGATGTTTGTTACTTTGACTGATTCTCACCTGTTCAGTCGCTCTGTCTCAGACTCCTGGCTTACAGGGCTTGGACAAGGACTGCATGAGTTCACAGAGCCCCCTGGAGAACCCTCCCCACCCCCAGGCAGAGGCATCCCAGCTCTGGATGTCCGTCTGTGGAGTAACGGTGAACCAGGGAAGGGAGGAGATGCCCAGTCTGGACTGAGAGTTCCTGCTGGGGGCCGATAGGGAGGAGAGCCGCAGCCTGACCTCCAGGCCTTCCGGAGACCAACCAGCTGAAAGAGAAGAGAACAGGTGCTACATTTATTTTATTTTTTGAACTCATAAATTGTTTTGAACAACCAGGTTTGCATTAACATCCTAACACTTCTCGAATTGGTTTATGTTTTTGGCATTTTATGTTTCTCTTTAAGCTCTTTATCAGACAAAACCTGTGTACCTTGTTCTTCTCCTCCTCCACCTGGCTGATGGTGCTGTGAGCCCTCTCCAGCTCCTCCTGACTCTTCTCCAGATCCAGGATGTCCTCCTGATACTGGTCCTTTGGCAGGCCTGGTGGGCATGAGATCCCAAACTCTAGTTCCATCTCCTCCAACATCTGCAAGGAGTGAGAAAAAGTGGTTGATAGTAGTCTAAAGATAGCCTGAACAAAGACAGATGTTTCTGCTGAATTAATCCTTTGATACTGAATTCCAAAAATATCTTCATGACAAGTTGATTTTTGGACAAATGTGTCACATTTCACCCTACATTTGCACATTTAATAATGAACATTTAAATGCAGAATCATGGGAGTTTGTCACAGTTTTGATACCTGTGTGGACCTAGCCCAGCTCTCCTGGGCGGCTCTCAGATGCTCCCTTTGCTTGTTCTGGTCAGCAGTGGTGATGGGGGCCGCCCAGGACCTCTTAAAGCTGATGGAGTCCTCCAATGACGTTAAAACCTCCTCCAGTTTAGTCCACACTACACCGCCGCCTCCTAGTGGATGCAAAGTATAGGTGCAATTAATCATGTTAGTAAAAGTGAGAGTAGCTTTATTATTTTGATAAGAAAAAGGTTATCTAATCTAAATACTTTTGGATCACTTGGTAATTATATATGTTATACAAATATTGAACAGTTTGATTTCACTTTACACCAAAAAAAGCAGATATAAACATTTAAGTTTATTTCATATTTAGTTCCTTCTATTTAATAAAACAAAACATTTAAATGTTTTCTATATTGAGCATTTGAGTCAACTCAAATCTCCCCATAGAAAAAAGCACCGGCGCAAACCATATACAGTATATGGCACACAACATGTGTGATGCATTTATTATGAGTATATACTGTAGCATTGGTTGCCTTCGAAAAAAATATATAAAATTGCCGTATCTTAGATGTAATCAAAAAAGTAATCAAGTAATCCTTGCCAATTCAACACAAATTCCCATTGCACATTTTGTCAAAAGTTATCTGTGCCCGAATAAACCCAGAGTTATGTTCGCTGTGTTGATGCTACCTCGGTTGGTCCGTGGAGGTTTGGATGTGGAAGCAGAGGTGATGTTCCTCTCTGGGAATCCTCTGGACAGCCTGTGGGACAGGAGGTCTGGAACCAGAGGCCTCGAGGGTCCTGGTGGTCTCAGGTCTCCTGGCTCACTGAAGAACACCATCAGCATTAACATTTCTACTAACAAATACCCTTGTGTTTATTTTTGAGACAATCGAGCAGACCAATATATTATTTATTGATGGGAAAATATGTAAAGACAAACATGGCTCCAACAAAACAGTTATTGGGAGTGAAACCAAATCCATTTGGTTTCACTCTGGAGATCAATGTTGTGGCTTTCATACGTGACAAGCCTTCAGAAATTGCATATGTAATTACTCTCTTCACTGACCTTGGTGCCTTTAATGACCCCATCTTCTTGTTCAGTTCTGCAATGATGCTGAGCAGAGTGCCGACTTCTGCCTCACACTGAGCCAGTTCAGCTGGGGAAGGGTCCAGGTTTGCTGTGGGGTCAGAGCCCTCAGGGTCAAAGGTCGCATGTTGGTTCAGGGTCAACACCTCCCTGTCACACACTGACCCAGCATCCAGGCTGTAACATCGACGCAGGCAGGAATCCTGCTGACACATGAAGTGGTATTTGGATATAAAATAAAACAACCTTATTTAAGGCATTCATTTAGCTTCTTACTGCAGCAAATGGCTTCCTTTTCCCCTGCAGTTGTACAGTAATGTGTCCCAATATAAAACACATAAAGTGTTTGTTCTTGCTGCAGGTTGACAAATGTGTTATGCTATTGAACAAGAGATTGTTGCTGAACTGTTTAGTGGCTATTGTTTCGAGCAGCGGAAAAGGAGGAAACTAAAACATCCTGAGATCAAACTTCCTGTCTAGAAAATATGTGTAGACCAAACCATATTTAGTTTTTCACAAAGAATGTTGGCTAAACTAATCTGCTTTAAAGTATATATGATGCCTATACATCTGTCAACATGGTAAACTTTGTAACACTTGTGTTTTGATTGTGTGAATTGTAACACATATTGTGCAAGTGGTTGTTGGCAACATACTTTAAATTCCTTATCCAGCCCGTAATACATCCACTATACCCACCGCTTCCTATTCACAGTCACAGGAAGGATATCCAAGCATGCACTGGGCAAACAGCAAAGAGGCACCTCAAATAGGCGTCCAGAGAAACACTCACATTTACAATTCAGAGGCTAAAATAATAATGTAATGTATATGATAAATTGAAGCCATGCAGTAATATATACTGCTTCATGAACACAATAGTAGATGGTTAAAGCTCCTGCAATTCTGTCTAATTATTCCGTTTTGGAGATCTTGTTTGAAGACAAAGTGCACCATCTTAGCAAACCATTCCACAGAAGACAGGTCAGAGGTTCTCTACATCCAATTGTCAAATGTACCCAGTTAACATACAATACTAAAAGTCAAAAACCTTTTATCATTAGTGACCTATTTTTGAGACAAACTTCATCATAAATTACCTCCATTGTGGTAAGCCTGATGTCTGCAGCAGGGATTTTGTTCCTGATGAATTTGTTCACAGCCTGTGTGTTTATTTTCCAGTAGTTAGTTAGTCACTGCTGCAGTCTGCCCTCCGAGTGTCTTCCTAACAGCGTTTAGTGTGATGAATGAAGTAAGTGGAAAACACTCAGAAAGACATCCCCACCCATTCCCCGTCACTTTGTGTCCTTTCCTGTTTTGTCCACATTTAGCTTCAATGCTTCTTTTATAGTCACCAGTGAGTAAACTCTGGATACATGCTGTAACTGTTCTGCAAAATGGAGTATGTACTATGATGGTGTGCAATTCGAAAAATGTGTGAAGTTATGATCAATTTCGACCATGACACAAACTTAAGTGGCTTGTTAAATTGTGTGGGTTTTTTGAATCTCTGCAGTAAAAACTGTTTATTTTGTAATTCAATGTATGTTGACAGATTCTGCAGCATTGTGCCAAATGTGAACAACTAAAGCAAAACATGATTATACAATATATCCTTTTATTGTAGAGATTTCCAAGTCCAGTGATACCACTCACCAATGTTGTCTTCCTGGTGAGTCTTTGTGCATCACGCAAAACAGTGAAATATATTACGAAATACATTTACAGAATACATGTGTAAATTATTCATTTCTGATTTTACAAAATGGATTAGCATTATTTGAAGGCTTTATTTTTTTTTCAAACACATTTTGTTACTCCTGAAATCGGTTTTTTACAACTTAAATTACCACTATATTGAAAAGGAAAAGAGGAAGATAAGTAGGAAGAAATTCATAACCTTCACATTAAACTCCATTACCCACAATTCAGTGCTACTTCGTAGTTCCGGAGTTGGTCATTTCCGGTAAGGAAGTAGTCCGATCAAAACAAATGTTAGCTCGGCGTTGACATATTGTACAACTTTCAATGACTTTCACTCTATTTGAATCCTGAACGTTTCACAGTTACCTATCACGTAAGTCTCTCGGAACATCTTAACATGTAACATTTGATGTGTCTCGACTTGTAATTCTCCTGAAGCTAATGCTAACAGCTCACATTGCTCTGTCACCACACATCACCTGTGTTAGCTTGAATGGACTCACTCTCTCTGGACGCATTCATTGATGCATTTAGTAAATAATCTATCCATCATTTACAGCTAAAAGTATGTATTATTCCGGTTAGCTACAAGTTGCACCTTTCGTTCATACCACCAGACTCAAAATACTGGCGTGATTTTGAGAGGAGATAGACGACTATAAAGTTATTATTGACAATGTGGGAAAGTCTCCGATTCATCCAGCTTTTCTTTAACCACTGTACGACCTGTGTTAAACTGTATACATAGCTCTTGTTTTCATCCTTTAGCATTTAAAGACATTTATAGATTGGACTTTCGATATTGGTAATACTAATATATATATATATATATTTAGGAAGTAGGCATAAGGTGGACCGTGCATTCGAATCTGTGGATGACAAAATTACTTTAACGCACATTTTGGATCATTATGTTGGTAAATAGTTGCGAATATCATCTTTACATTGTGCTGTGAACTTTCGCACACTCTTTGGACTATATTTGAACTGTTTCTGCCTAAAAAAACACATCTTTCTATTTTATAAATAGATGTGTTTTACATATTTATTTACATATATTGACATTCTATTTATGTTTCTTGACTGATGCAGTCCCTGTTGATAGTCAAAATCATTTTAATTGGTGCAACAACTAACATAACAACCATACATTAAAACTTCTACCTAAGAACACATGACAGTGTGACAGTGTTAAAGCATACAGACATGAACACAACACAGTCCAGTGTTGAACTGGGTGATTGCATTTCTCTAGTGTGTGTGTGTGTGACTTGACATTTCATATTAGGTGAGATAACAGTTTCTTGTCATGACTGATCAAACCTGCCAACCAATCAAAGTCATTATTTGCATTCCTTAGCAACCTGAGTATCTATGGAGACGCCAGAGCCGGGTCCAGCCGATGGAGAGGAGCACGTGGTGGAGCTTCGCCCTCGGACACGCTCCAACCCTGAAGGTGCTGAGGACCGTCGTAGCAGCACGGGCAGCCTGGGGGGGAACAGTAACCCCAACATACCTCAGCCCGCTGTGGGGAGTCGGGTTGAGGGCGAGGGCGAGGCTTCCACCAGCGACAGCCCCCCAAGCTCCACAACCGCCACCGTGTCAGCCGCTGTAGCTCAGACAGCAGCTCCAGTTGTAGTTTCATCAGCAGCCGCAGCGGCTGGGGTCACAGTCCCTCTGTCCACAGCTGCTGTGGCACCCAAAGAGAGGCCGAAGCCCACCCAGCAGCCGCCCACACTGACCACCCCCATCCCTCCCCCAGCAGAGTACCAGCTCAGAGTCCCCCGTGTCAACTGTCCAGAGAAAGTGGTAGGCCCTCATGACAGTTTTACCTTACATTAAGATTTTAAAGTAGGGGTTTATGAGGTACTCGTCCATCAATTGGCTGTTTATTGGCAATAATTTGGCAATATCTATTGTGCTATGCTCTATTTTTAAAGCCACCACACTCAAAATGTGTAATTTTACCTTGCTGAACAAGGTCTGCTGCTTTACCACTGATTCACTCGGATAGCTGGTTTATGTTATTGTGTGAGTTTAGTGGATCTGAACTAACAATTTAAAAGTAGTAGTAGAACCTTTATTTAGCCAGGAAAATCAATTGAGAACAAATTCTTATTTTCAATGATGACCTGACTGGAGGCAAAAGGCTTCCTGAGGGGATGGGGGTTGGGAGGAAGAAAATAAAAAGACAGACTCCGGGCACTACAGAACGCAGGAGACAACACAATGACACAGAGCAGAGATGACAGGCATAGCAGTTAAACATATAACATCTCTAAAACAATACTGCTGTGGTTCAATCAGCCATTAAAATGATATAGAACATTCATCCATCCATCCATTCATTCATTCATTCATTCCTCCATGGCAATGCATAAGAGAGGTCAAGACAGTGAGCATCAGGCAAAGCAGTTGCATGTGTGTACCAGGGTGTTTGTAATAGTGTCCCTGAAGGTGCGGGGGAGATAAAGGTGTCCATCTTCAAGGTTTTTTGTATGATTGAGTATGTAAGTCGCTTTGGATAAAAGCGTCTAACAAGTGACATGTAATGTAATGTAATATTCCAGCGATCAGCTGCTGCAAACTGAAAGGCGGAGCGGCCAAAGGATGTATGGGCTTTGGGATCTTTAGCAGGATGTTTGTAGCTGACCGGGTGTTGTGCGTTGGGAGGTTGGGAGTGGGCGTAGTTGCAGTAATTGTGTGAGGTAGAAGGGGGTGAGGCCTAGGAGTGTTTTATAAACAAACATCAGCCAGTGGATGTTGTGCCTGGTCTCAAGAGAGGGTCAGTTAGCCAGAGAGTACAGGTCACAGTGGTGTGTCCTGTAGGGGGCATTGGTGGCGAAGCGGATGGCGGAGTGATACAGAACGTCTAAATCAGTGACCACCAACTGGCGGCCTGCGGGCCACCATCCGGCCCGCACGACGGGGGTGACTGTGGCGTTGGCGGAGTGGTTAGTGCGTTCGCCCCCCACCCATTTTTTACAACATCTCGTGAGTAAGGTGCAGTACCGGAGATCCAACAGAAGAGGCAGCCGCTGCGGGACAGTAGACTGCGTACTACGAACTTCCCTGCCTTGAAGAAGAAGTGATCCTTCGTTGGTGAAGAGTCACTGCTTTGTGCGCTTCGCTAGTCCGCGACGAACCATAGCAGTAGCCCCGCTGACGACAGAGGTCCAACAGAGAGGCTGACTGCGGGGACAGTAGCCTAGAAGAGGGTTGGGGTTGTAACGAATACATGTAGCGGCGTTTACGTAATCAGAATTACAAAATCAAGTAGGCTATACTGTATCACGCTGGCG